CATTTTTCCAGAACTATCATGCACTATAGAATGAACAATTTAAAAAGTAAGGAATCTAAGGACACTCTTTCAATAATGATGAGTTAGGGAATGAGCAGTCTAGTTAGTGGGGCAGCCGATGTTCAGCTCAGTTTCTCCCATTATTGTGACGGGGGTGGGATCGTACAGCAATTTCAAGGGGGGGGGGAGTGTCTATCTGATCATTTCACACAATGCCATGCTATGTTCTGGTTCAAATGCCGACTAATCGCCCAATTAGTTGGACTAGTGAGTATTAGCACGGGTAGGCAAGCACGAACAAGCACAGTTGATAGCCCGAACCGGAGTTGATCCTGGATTCCTGCTGGAAAAACTGCGATCCACCGTTCCCCTTGTTCAGTCATAAAGAAGGGACGACTCTCAGGGACGTTACATTTTCATTGGCATTGTGCGTGTTTTACGTGCGTGACACCTACGCCGAAATCTAATTGATTCGATTTACATATAGTCAGGATCCCCACGAAAGACTGAGCGTGGTAAGGGGGAAGTGAGTTGGACCACAGCCAGGCTTGGGATGACATCACTCATGTAGAAGGCCGCCTTGGCAGCGCTCCAATCCACTCCGCCGTTATCACTGTCGGAGAAAAAGACTGGAGAAGTGCTGTTGTGCTTGCCATCTAGGAAATACCCTGCTTGTTTCTGCGCATCCACTCAGTAGCTTGGATGTAACGGCTCTCCCCAGACCAATCTCCAGACCTGAACCTGTTCCCACAAGGTGTTTGTAAAAAGCTGGAAAGTGGGCAAATAAACTTCTATGTCTAAAAAGTTTATCCAGTGGCCTTGTCTAGTTCGACAGCTTCCACTAATCGAGACCCATGAGATTTCTGGGAATTTTAGAAGTTCTTTTCTGAATAGATTGAATCTCATTTCTAGAGATACGCGAATTGTTTTGAGTAAAAAGATCCAGGATTTTTTCATTACGCGACATTTTCAAGCGCCAAATGCCGAGGTAGGATGGCCTGTGCAGCGATTTGTTTTCGGCGGCAGTTTGATATGGAAAGGGGTCACTTCTTTGGCGCGCTTATCAGACCGTACCTGACCGTCAATCCAACTGATAAACTCTTCTCTATATAAAACCGTCCTCAACAAAGCGACCTACAGTCGGATACAATGGTGAGTTTTTTTTGAATTTCTCTATACTCCCAATTTCTCTATACTCAATCAGATTATTCGAAATTACTCGAAATCGAAATTAGTTTCAATGGCCGCGGCGGTGTGGGCGGGGTTATCCGTTATCCTCATCCACTTACTGCGTCTTGAACGGACAGGATTAAAGTTATTACTGAGCGGAAAGAATGACAAGCTAACTGCGGAAGTAAATGCAATAAATATTGGCTGCCATTTACTTTATTACAAATAGTGAATAAGTATAGTAGGTTCGTCAATCTCGGAGCACAAAGACGCCTCACGTTCGTCTGGAACTCAATCCACAAATCTTTTTAGGCATTGAAAGCGATGAGATCCTCTGGAACATAAGGTGCACCCTCGTACAGCCTTTGGCTGCGGACGCTGGAGCTCTCAGGGAGAGCGGCTGGGTTTGGCGCGGGGCCGGCTTGTGCACCAAGTGTGGTCATCTGCCAGCTTTCACTGGTTCAGCACAGGCTGGTGCCACACCAAACCTATTACCTCCACCCCCCCCCTCGTCTGGAACGCTCCAACGTTCGCAGCGAAAAACTTTAAAGACCCTCACTTCTGACGCCTCATATGTGTTTTTTTCCAGCTTTTTTTGCGTATTTTATGTTTGTTCTTATATTCTGTCTTTTGTGAATATTCTGTGAATAAGGGTAATATATTGGTATAGCAACAGGTATTTACTTACCAATTCAAGCTGTCCACATGGACACTTTAAATTACCTTCCTCAAAGATTTGAAAATTCAGAGGGGACTCCTGGTGTGTCTCTTCTTCATATTGGCCGAATGCCGTATTGAGCTTGATTCGTCGTCAGAAGGAGTACCCAAGAAGGAGTAAAACAACAGTAAGTCACTCTGTGCGTGAGATTCGATTTTATTGGCATCGCTGGGGGCGACCATTTTGTTGACCCCCCACGATGTCCCAGTTGATCTTCAGTAGACATGTTTAGGTCGATAGATACCAAAGGATAAAACGTCTTCGTAGACGATTTGGTAGCGTAATGGGGCGCGCAGTTTTTGCCCGGGCGCCAATCTCACCTTCCCGAGCCAACTTGTCGTTGCACTGCCCGCAACAGCGGTTGAAGAAAACGGAGTTGAGCTGGCCTACCAAGGCCGCAGCGTGCCCCGTCCCCCCCCCCCCCACCGGGAAAATTCTGCTACAGCTGCGTTCAGTACTTGTTGTGGCTCCAGCTTACCAGGCGGCGTCCACGACAGCGACCAGCACGGTTCGCAGCGTCTGAACAGCGTCCGCGAATTAGAAAGTATAGGATATCGATTATGCTCTACCAGCGTCTAGCTAGCGTACACCGGCTGACGGCCAGTGTGGCGGAGTGGAGAGTATAAGGGGCCGATTAGGAGGGCAGTAGACAGATCGTAGAGGAGTATGGTGCCCTATTGTGGCCCCATATTCTCTACTACCAGTCTGCTACCTTCCTATCTCCTCACACTCTGTCAGTTGTCCGCCACTCTCCTATCACTATATGCTCCCCAGTACTGGACCCTGCTCGTCGCTAACGGATGCTAGACGCTGGTAGACGCTAGATCGATATCTACGCTCTATTCCCTGACGCTGACAGACGCTCGATACGCTGCTGGACGCTGCCGCAAAGTATGAAGGCAACCTTACGCAATCTGTTCAATAGGCTTCATGTTTATTTGCTCCCGAGGGAATTTTCGAATCCTGCACCTTACTCTCTACCAAGGAAGAAAAGTTTTCTTGAAAATACTCATATTTTCGCTCATATTTTCAGAAGCATTCCGAAACCGTAAGATTCCGACGGAAGCTGAGGAATTAACTGGGCAAGAACTGGTTGACTATGTGAACAGCCATCAGTCGCTGTGGAAGGTTTGTGGGACGCTTTTGATTGGAACAGTAGCATAAAGATACATACATCAAGTGGGCTCAGGCCCTAGTTTGGGCTGCCGAGAAGGAGTGCTCTTCACAAACTTCTGTTCGAACTAGTATATTACTTTTGTAGGAACATTTTTGAGGTCGTCCGCCGTAAACCATACGTATTCAGGCAAAGGTGAATCGCCGCTTCGCTCATTATCCGGACCGAACAAAATGGGGCCTCATGGGAGTGAATAACGTGCGACTGAGCGTCAAGGTTCGTTTCTGGACGTCCTTCATTATCTTTCCTTCAATGCAATCAAATATTTGCTGCACCTCCTGTCACCGCGTGACTCTTATCACCTGTTTTCATAGGCAAAACAGCATCTGTCCGCCACCAAGGACTTAGACATCGACATTCCGGAGTCGTTCGATTCGCGTGAACAATGGCCCAACTGCGCTTCCATAAAAGTTATTCGGGACCAGTCCAGTTGCGGTAAGTACACAGTGGAATTAATGAATCGTCTCATTCGAAAATGTGAGGGCATGGAGGGAGGTGACTAGGTTATCTATGATCTACGGGCCTCTCGCAATATAAGTGTCGTGCTTGAATTGTCCCAGAGCTGGACAACTACTTGCGTATAAAATGGAGCTGTCGCCATGGAATATGGAATAATCAGTTCAGACCTAAAAACGGGCAAAAAAAACTGTGGTCGAGGATGAAGGAGCGAAGACGCGAATCATCCAAACGCTTCATGGAAGCTGGCAGCAGGTCTTTGACAACGACGGGGTCCACTTAACATAAACTGGAATACTTCTTTCATCCGTTTCCTTCTCCACTTTAATAGGATCTTCCACGAATTTGGATCAGATCACCGGCATCCGATAGAACGATGAAAGAATCGGAAACGCTTC